TCTCTCGCTCTCTCTCGCTCTCTCGCTGTGTTTCTTAATGCAAACTCCAAGTTGGTCTCTGTTGATGTTTCCTTAGAACAGCAAGATTGGGCTGAGTGAAAGAGATTGTTGTAAGGCTGAAGGCAGTGGGAAATGAAGGTGGGAAATTTAGGCTTGAAATTGGGTCTGAAAGCTGGATCTCTAAGTTGGATCTAAAAGTCTGACTGAGCTTCATTTGTGAATTGGGTCTGAAAACCTGACTGAGCTTGATTTGTAAAGTTGCTTCTCTGAGCTGCAGTGCAGACAGGGGGGAGAAGGAAGTGTCTGGAATGGGAAGTCAGAGCCCTGTGACAAGGGAACAAGATGTGATGTTCAGAGCTTGCCAAGCAGAGTAAATCAGCCTGACTGGAGATGTTGGACTGGTCAGGGAGAGAGCAACTGGTTCAAGGAGCCAGAGAGCACTGTGAGGAGTCAGTGCTGGGGCACAGGAGATTCGAGACTGACTGAGGCAAACTCCTGTTCTGGAGCTGCAGGAGAGTTCTGAGCGTGTGGTAGCACAGCTCCAGCTGCACAGTGTAGGCATGTGTGGTTTGGGGTGTTGTTGGCCATACAGGCCAACTAAACGCACAGAAATGAGTGTGACTCTTCTAGAGATGAAACAGTTACTCTAGAAACCATTGGGCTGTGGCCTGAGCAGCTGATTTAGCCTGTGTCAGTATCTGTGCTCTTGCATAAGTGTTGGAATCTCCAGGTCTTTTTAGCAAAGGGCTCATTTCTTGTCAGGTGCTTTGTTACATTCAGGGCCACTTGTCTTAGTTTTCATCCTTCTTCCTCCTTCATCACTGAAACATCTCCACTGTGACAAAGAGTGGTTGGAGAGGAAATGAAGGATGTCAGATGGGGCCTTTGAGGTGCCCCTGAGTGATCCCATCCCACTGCTTTGTCTGCCCTGCAACCACTGCTTGGCATTAACAGCTCTCCTTGAAGCTCACAGCTCCTTCCTTACATTTCCAGGTGCTCATGCAGTAGCAACATCACTAATTATCCTCTGTTCAGAGTTTCAGCCACCAGCAGCTCTATCAAGGAATCCATTTCAGAACTGGTGAGCTTCACTACAGAGAGCTGTGAGCCAGACTGTCCTGCTGCCCCAAAGCTCATTAACAGAACCAAAAACAGCCTCAGCTTGCAGTGGAAGGTAAGAACTAAGCCCTGAGTGTGCAGGGGAAGGTAAGAACTAAACCCTGAGTGTGCAGGGGAAGGTAAGAATCAAACCCTGAATGAGTAGGGGAAGGTTGAGCTGAGGAGGGGAAGGTTGAGCTGGGCAGGGGAAGGTTAGGCAGAGCAGGGTAAGGTTGAGCTGAGCAGGAGGAGCTTGAGCCGAGCAGAAGGTCGAGCAGAGCAGTGGAAAGTTAAGCAGATTCTGCTGGGTTCAAGTACAGTATGTTTAATTTAGCTTTGTCAATAAGTACTGTGTACTTTAGGTGTTGCCTTTTAAGTTGCTCAGCTAAGACTGATAGTGAAATGATGATTTTCTTCCTCTTTCAATGTTTACCCAGCTCCTTGGCCGTGGCTTCAGTGTGGCTGAGTCGGTAGCAGTTCTCTAAACAATTCCTTAGGAGCAGTTCTGTTTGTGCTTGGGGTCCTGGATGATAAACAGACATGACTTAATGTTCTTCTGGTTATTCTGACCCATTCAGACTAGATATTTTCTTGTCTTTTCATGTTTTTCCTATGGTTATACCTGGAAAATCATTACAGCTTAATGAGTTCAGTTCTTTGTGTGATCCTCACCTAGAAAGTCAAGGAGGTTCCCAACTCCTGTGTCATAACAAGCCCAAATGTTGCTCTCTGCACCCTCATGTTGCTCAGTAGGTGGGCACAGTGCAAGGCACAAGGAAAAAAGCTTTTATGGTGTGTTTTATTCACAAAATATAGCTATAAGTTCGTATTTTAAGCCCTCAGAACTACGAGAAGTAACACATCAGCCTTGAAAGTTTGAAAAGGCACTTGGAGTCTATTCTATTCAATTGTTAGATGTTGGTTTAAAGTGTACAGATCTTTATCCAAGTAGAACCATTTGATTTTAACTGTCTTCTGATTGTTTCTTTCAGTCCTCAAATGACAATGGCTCCAAAATAAGCAATTTTCTTTTGGAATGGGATGAGGTAAGACCTTTTCTAGCACAAACAAACATCATAATGACATCTCTAGAGCAATTATGGTTAAAAATACTTTTTGCTTAGGTCCAGCAGCTATTCCCAGTGTAGCTGTCCAGGCAGGATTAGAGGGACACAGGATCAGTATTGCAGGAAGAGGGAACAGTGGGGAACTGCCTCAGTTGTCAGAGCAGCAGCACACACTGTGGGGGATGGTTGGGGTGTCCTGTGTGGGGCTTGGGGTTGGACTCATAATCCTTGGGGATCGTTCCAGCTCAGGAGATAAATCCTCTGTGAATGGAGGAGTATTTGGCCATATCATAGAAAAGAATCTGAGAATCACCAAGGTTGGAGGAGATCTCTAAGGTCATTGAGTCCAACCTTTAACTGTCACTGCTGGAACCCCCAAGCCCTAAACCAGATCCTCCTGTGCCACATCCAGACATCTCTGAAACCCCTCCAGGGGTGATGACTCCACCACCTCCCTGGGCAACCAGTGCCAGTGTAATAATAATGGTAGTAATAATAATGATTATTTTTGAGTTGTGTAGGTGTTGTTTTCTAAGGATGTTTCAAAACCCTATTACATGCAGTTTACTACCTCTATTTGGAGCTTCAACCTATATTATAGAGGTGTTCCAGGCCAGGTTGGATGGGGCTTGGAGCACCCTGGGCTGGTGGGAGGTGTCCCATGGCAGGGGGTGGGACTGGATGGGCTTTAAGGTCCTTCCAACCCAAGCCATCCCAGGATTCTGTGGTTCTGAAGACTTGAAGAGGTTGATCTCAGCAGAGAAGAGCAAGAAGTGACTCTTCTTGTCCTCACAGGGGAGGAATGGGCCCTTCAAGGAGTGCTACTATGGGCACATGAAGCAGTACAAACTTACCAAACTCACACCCTCGACCAGATACTCGCTGAGATTAGCTGCTAAGAATGACATTGGATTGAGGTAAGGATCCAGATATGTCCTATCCATTACTTCTTCCTCATCCCCATCTGCTGCTGGTAACATCTTCCTTCTAACTAATGCTCTCCCAGTGGGTTCAGCGAGACAGTGACCTACTACACAGCAGGGATTGTCCCCCCAGCACCATCCCCACCAGTGCTGCTGGAGGCAGGAGTGAGCTGGATGGCGCTGAGGTGGAGCCCTCCCTCCTCCTGGGTGGCCTCAGATGACTCCCTCACCTACAGCCTGGACATGGAGGAAGAAGGTTCTGTAAGTACTGGGGTTTGTGTGGGGAAAACTTGCTCCTCAGCTTGGGGATCGAATGGTTGGGAAGTGGTATGTGTGTTTGTGGCACAGAGATGAAGGTCAGGCTGTAAAATGTGATTGATCTGCTCTGGGGTTTGGTTTGGCTTTAAAGGGGATGACTATGTGTCCATGTTTCCCTCCTCCCAGGGTTATGGGTTCCAGCCCCAGTACAATGGAGAGGAGCTCTCGTGCACTTTAAGGAACCTGAGGAGAAGCACAGCCTACAAGTTCAGGGTTTGTACTCTGCTTTATTTCTCATCTCGTGATGACTTTGGCCTTTGCTGGGGTTTGGCATTTCCATCCAGCTCAGACACTTTGCATGGAGACAGCAGGAAATTCCCTGTTGCATCCACAATTCCCCATAGTTAGAACAGGTTTGGGTGAAATCCTAAAGGACATTTTTTCCACTAGCTAATTCTGTTTTTTCTTTGTTGAAGACAAAGAACATTGAAAAACAGCGAATAAAATTGGGTTTATTTTGGTTGTGTCATTTATAGAAGAACTTTATAAATCAGCAGCACATTATCCTCATTTTCTGTTGTCTGTAGATACACATTAATGATATGATAGAGATATATACATGTAGATATAGTCTGGATTTGTAGATAGCTATGATATTGTTATATGGATGTTCTCTAAGCTGCATTCCAACCTCTAAATTCTATGATTCAATGATATATTGGTATCTATAGATAGATACTAACTAATATGACTGAATAAATAAACCCTCAATTGTCTCTTCACTCCTGGGACAGCTCTTTGCCTACAACAGTGAAGGAAAAAGCAGCCCCAGTGAGGTGGTGGAACACAGCACCAAACCTGACAGACCTGGACCCCCCAGTAAACCAGTTGTGAAGGGCAAGATCCACTCCCACAGCGTGAGAGTCACATGGGGTATGTTCCTTGGGGTGTGCACAGTCAATCAGGGCAGCTCTTGGTCTCTGCAGATATTGTTGCTGCAGGAGAAGTTGGCAGAAGTGGTTTATTTTGGGGCTGGAGCACTGATGATCTTCATTCATGTTAGAGAAGCTGTAACAGCTTTCTGGGTTTACTGTGATGCTTAAATCATCTTCATGTGCTCTTAAAAACATCAGAGCTGATACCTGAAATTGGTGTTATTTTCCTAGTTAGTTTTCCTGGCATAATCCTGATTAATAATAGGGGGAAAATGGCTCTAAAATGTGAACAGTTAAGTTCTCAGGGTTCTGTTTCTGTCTGAGTTCTCTACTTGACTACATCCTGCAGTGCCTGAGTGTGTTCTCTGGACATACTAACAGAATAATTCCTGGTTTTGGAATCCTCTTTAACTCAAGCTGTTGGTTCTTTCCAGAACCTCCCAGAGACAATGGAGGATCAGACATTGCTAAATACTTCCTGGAAATCTCAGAAGCAGCAGCTGGTAAGGAATCACCTGTGGGGGCTAACTCAGTGCACTGAGTCTCCACCCCTGGAGGTATTTAAATGCCATGGAGGTGTGGAACTTGGAGACATGGGTTAGACTTGCTGGAGGCTTTTCCAGCCTACATGAACCTTCAGTTGTTGCTTGAGCAATGTGTGTTCTGTTTCCACGTGTGTGTATTGTGTTGTGCATGTTCTGTGTGTAATTAGCCACTCAGTTGGATCCTGTGGCTTGACTGTGATGTGGGAGAGGTTTCAAGGTGGATTTTTGTAGGAGTTTTGTGTGTAAAGTATTTTCTCTCTGCTCAGGAGGCAAATGGGACACCATATACAGTGGAGCCCAGAGGGAACATGTGTGTGACCACCTCAGGCCTGGCACCTCCTACAGGCTCAGAGTCTCTTGTGCCAGTAGAGGTGGGGAGAGCCAGGTGAGCCAGGAGAGGAAATTTCCTTCTGGGAACCATTTCTGTGCATGTTTCAGTGCAAGGCTTTGTGTTCCTGCTCTAATGAACCTGTTCCCTGCCAGGCCTCTGATGTTCTGACTGTCACCACCTCAGCGGTTCCTCCTGGCCCCTGTCCTGCTCCGTGCTTGGCAGGCAAAGCCAAGCCCAAGGAAATCAGCCTACAGTGGGGTAAGCACCAGAGCTGGGGCAAAATACTCCTCAGTTTAAATGCCCAAATGAAAAATGTATAGAACTCTCGAGGGGATAAAGTAAAACTACAAATATATTGATACAGTCCGTGTCCTTAGTTGGTTTTTGGGCTTGTTCTGTGGAGTTTTTTAAGCTTCTGGCCACCTCTGGGTGATGCAGCATACCCAACCATCCCGTGAGGCTTCCTTCCTGCCCTTGACTGGCACCTGTTTGGCAAATCAAAAATCAGCTCTCCTTAGCTTATTGTTAGCTCAGGTAAGGAGAGAACCAAGAAGTGATTGAGAGACCTTGGTTTGTGAAGGAAAAATACCTGGAAAGGATGATGAAAGCCATGTTAAGTTAATCTCTGAGTTCCTGGGGGGGAAAAACAAACTCCACAAAGTGTTTTCTAAGGCTCAGTTACGTGCTCAAAGCCTGCCCTGACTTCTAGGATTGAGGAAGGAATAGGAATAACCCATCTCTCTCTCCCCTAGGCCCCCCAGCTGCAGATGGAGGTTCTGAGGTCACAGAGTACCTGCTGGAGATGGCCAGCTCCGAGCAGGAGGAGCGCAGAGCAGTGTACCAGGGCCCAGCAGCTGAGTATGTAGTGAGCAATCTGCTCCCAGGGAGGACCTACTGCTTCTGGATCAGAGCAGGGAACAGAGTCGGGGTAACCACTGCACTCACCACTCCTGGTTTGTTTGACACACAACAGAGCTATGATGCTGCTGCTAAAGAAGATATTCTGCAGCTTGTGTTCTGTGAAGAACCACTTGGTGCCTTCAGAGGTGGTTCCAACAAGCTCAGGCCCTGCAGATGGTGCTGGGGGAGCAGCACTGTGTACACAGGGGTGTGTGCCAGCCATGCCAGGTTGGAAACAAGGCTGGGATCAATGCTGGTGACATAAAAGTCCCTGTGGAACAGTCTCCAGCTGCTGCTGGGGGGGGAGGAGTGCCACAGCCCTGGCAAAGGGAGGGAGGATCACACACATCCTGGAGGCACTGGGCCAGCTTGGAGTGAACTTACCTGCAAGGGATTTCAGGCAGTGCCATGAAACTAAGCACTGAGCTGTGCTGGTTGTTCCTCTGTCAAGTTAAACCCAGTCTGTTTTCTTCACTTGCACATCAGTTTTTGCCCTGGTGCTGTTGCTGTGCTCATGCTTTGCTGTTTCCCTGCAGTTTGGCCCTCACTCTGACAAGGCAGAGCTCTCCACTGCCCCAGGACCCCCTGACCAGTGCTGCAAACCCCTGATAGCCTGTAAAAGTGCAACCTGTGCTCTGGTTTGCTGGGAGGTAGGTGCTAAGGCTTTCAGTGACACCCACGTTGGTGTTTGGCTTTGAGGATTGCAGTGACAGGTGTAGGATACAGAGAGAAAGGGGAGAAATAATACATGGAGAGATGGAATTTTAAGATCAGTTATTTATGGACTTGTATGTGGAGTTTGTCAACTGTGGGAGTTACTAATTTCAGACTAAATTGATATTTAATCCTCCTCAATATGGTAACTAATATATAATAAATAGTTCATGTAAGAGGTTGGAGACTGAGTCAATCAGAATTGTGGACTGAACTGTGGTGATGTTACAGCCAAGTGTCACCTTCTAACAACACCTCAGAAAAGACCTCAGGTTCCAACCCCAGAGCATCCGAGACCTCCATGGGTCTTTTCCATCCAGTGTCTCTGTTCAGTGTGAGATCCAGCCTGTGTGTGTGCAGCAGCTGAAAGGAGTCTTTCCCTTTCCCCACAGAGCCCTGGGTGCAATGGGGCAGAGATCAGTGAGTACAGGCTGGACTGGGGCCAGCTGGAAGGCTCCATGCACATCATCTACACAGGCCCTTGCCAGAGCTATGAAGTCAAAGGGCTCACACCTGCCACCACCTACTACTGCAGAGTACAGGTATGAAAAGCCTTTGGTGCTGTGTTCCTGAGCACGTGGTCAGGTTCTTGCAGTTTGGAGAGAAACTGCAGCCAAGGAGGAGTAAAATGGTGTGCTGTCACCTGCTCGTGCAGTACGGAAGGTGATTGGTGAAGATACTTCCTCTTCTCCCGTTGTCCCTCCTAATTCTGTGTGCCCAGAAGAGAGTTTAGATCCAAAATGCCATTAAATTCCTGATGCTTTGCCCTGTGTACATTTTCTTGGGGAGATTTTCCATTCTCTTCCCTGTTGCTTTTAAGAACACAGGGAAGAGTGTGACAGATGTGACTGCCTGGGTAGAAAACAGGTTTGGTAGATCACTTTGGGTCTGGTGCTGGAGGATCTGGTTTAGGGGTTCCAGCAGTGACAGGTTAATGGTTGGTCCTGATGGTCTCAGAGGTCTCCTCCAACCTTGGTGGTTCTGTGATCCTACATGTGGTGTATTGCAGGCTGTGAATGTGGCTGGAGTGGGACTCTTTGGGGAGACCAGCATGGTGACCACCCCTGCCTCAGTGCCTGCAGCAGTGGCTGTGCTGCACTTGCTGGAAGAAGATCAGCTGGAAATCTCTCCTCCCTCATCCACGTGCCTTGCAATCCAGTGGGAAGAGCCTTGCTGCCACGGGGCAGAGATCACAGGGTACAACATAGAGTATGGGGAGAAGCAGCTGGTGACTGTTGGGAGAAACCCAATGCATGTCCTTGAGAATCTGCTGCCTGACACTGTGTACAGGTAATAACTCATGGTCTTGTTCTGAACCATGTTGGCAATCAACAGTTTTGTGGGTAGTGGTGTAAGTTCTTAGAGCAGTTTTTTCATTCAGCGTACAAACTGTTAGACTGTCCAGGGAAGGGAATGGAGCTGGGAAGGGGTTGGAGCACCAGGAGAATCTGAGGGAACTGTGGGGGCTCAGCCTGGAGAAAAGGAGGCTCAGAGGAACCTTCTCACTCTGTACAGCTCCCTGCCAGGAGGTGCAGCCAGGTGGGGTCAGGCTCTGCTCCCAGGGAACAAGGGACAGGACAAGGGGAAACAGCCTCAAGCTGCACCAGGGGAGGTTCAGGTTGGACATCAGGAGGAATTTCTACATGGAAAGGGCTGTCAGGCGTTGGAACTGCCCAGGGAGGTGGTGGAGTCACCATCCCTGGAGGTGTTGAGGGAATGACTGGACATGGCACTCAGTGGCAGGTGATGATGGGTCACAGGTTGGACTAAATGGTCTTGGAGGTCTTTCCCAACCTCACTGATCCTGTGATTCTGTGACTAATTCACTCTGCAACTCCAAAACTACCCCCAAGTTGTCCTATCCAGATTCCCTCCATGGTGTTGGCAGGAGTTAGATCGTGGTGTTAGGATTCAGTCCCAGATCCAAGGCTTGAAGGTTCCTGGTTAGAGTTTTTCACTGTGGAGGATGTGAGGGGATGCTCAGGTGTGGCCTGAAGGGATGGAGGGACAGAGCAGGTGTTCCTGTGTCAGCTGCTCAGTGGTAATTAAAGCTGAAATCACATCCAACATCTCCAGTGTTAATTTCTGACAGCATTTTAATTGTTTTTTTTGTTTGGAGTTCTATTCTCTACACGTTTTATTGCTCTATCACAGCATTTTTCCTGACCATGTGGCTGCTCTCTGTCCTTCCCAGAATCAGAATCCAGGCCATAAACAGCTTTGGAGTTGGTCCTTTCAGTCATTCCATGAAAGCCAAAACCAAACCACTACCTCCCGACCCTCCTCACCTGGAGTGTGTGGTCTTCAGCTACCAGAGCCTTAAACTGAAGTGGGGAGAAGGGCCCAGCAGAGCTCTAATCACCAACCCTACTCAGTTCAACTTGCAGATGGAGGACAGGTTTGGCAGGTGAGACCATCAGAGTGTGAAGGATCTTGTTGCTTTACCACTTCAGGTCAAGTCTGTAAGGTGTTTTAGATGTTCTCCCTAGTGAGTCATTTGGGCATTCCAAAGTTTGCTCCTTCCATCCTGTCTTTCAACCAAAGTGCTGGGAATAACTTGCCCTTCTGTTTGCTTGTGAATAGTGTTAGTTATTTAAATCATATTTTGTCACTGCCCTGTGTTTCCAGGTTGTATTTAGCCATTCTAAACCAAAGTCCAGGATGGGCAGCTCTTCTTTACCTTGAGATTTCACTTCACTTGGGATATTCAAGGGTTATTCTCTTGACCCAGACCAACAGTTGCATCCTTCAGCCTCAGTAGGATGCTCAGCATCCACCAAGGGGCAGAAATCTTGGACACATGGAATGTTGGGTCACTTCTTTGTCCTTGATTAGACACGAGTGTTGCAGTTGTGATACCTGCACGTCTGTGATCACGGAGCCACTGCCTGTGATTGCCCTGTGTTTCTCCCAGGTTTGTGACAGTCTACAGTGGTCCTTGTCACACCTACAAGGTGCAGAGGCTCAGTGAATCCACTACGTACTCCTTCCGGATTCAGGCGTACAACGATGCCGGAGAAGGAGCCTTCTCACAAGTTTACACCTTCACTACAACCAAGTCTCCACCTGCCTCTCTGAAAGGTGAGCTCGCACTGCCCCAGGAGCTCCTCGGGCCATTGGTGTGCTAGATGGGGTTCTCCAGCCCAACTCTGCCCACCTCAGTGTCTGCCCTGGAGGGACAGAGCAGAGAAACTTGCTGTGAGGAGCTTTGTCTGGTGTAAAAAAAGGCTTTGCTGGTGAGATCTGCACTGCAGCTGAAAGGCTATGCTGCTGTGATCAGCTCCTGCACTGCAGCTCTTCCACCCCTGAACTGAGCATTGCTTCCCGGTTTTTAACTGAAAACTCTTTTTTTCAGGATTATCTACCCTTTGGTATGAGTGGAGCAGTGCAGGCAGTGAGAGCACAGTTAGCTCCTCTGATCTTCCCTTTCTACCATGGACATTGAAGGATGTTGTTGAAGTCCTTCTGAGCTCAGAGTGCTGAGTGCCAGCAGGGAAATTAGCTGAGTAAATCATGTTTAGAACATGTCGTCTCAGCCCTGGCCATGGACAGAAGTGGTGGTTTCTGTAGTGGTTTGAAAGTGCTGGTCCTCTGTACAAGCATTAGGCATCAGAGGCTCATCCTGTCAGGCCAAAAAGACTAGTGTAACCTCCACATGCCGCAAGGATCATCTTTTAATCTCAGGTCATGAAATGTAGCAAAGAAACAAACCTCACTTGCTTAAAATGATTGGAATGAGAGTCTAGGCACAGCAGTTCTACTCTGAAATGCCAACACATCCCTTTATTCCTCCCCAGCACCCAAAGCCAACCAGCTGGAGGAAAACACCTATGAGATCACATGGGAACCTCTGCAGCCCATGAAAGGAGATTCCATTGTTTACATCCTTCAGCTTGCTGCTGGCAGAGAGTTTGATCAGGTATCTTTGGGCAGGAGCTTGAGGGGTTTTCACTTGGAAAGGTTATTACAAAGTTGAGGATGTTTGTAGTGGAAGGGGTGGGGTGGGGTGGGAAGAGATTGGCTTTAAGGTCCTTCCAGCTAAAACCATTCCATGATTTGAACCATGGTTGAAATTCCATGGTTGAAACTGTGTGTGGTGATGCTGTTGGCAGGGAGACTTTTCATCTGTCAGGTGTGAAGTGGGTGAACATTGGTCTATCCTGTTCTCTTTGACTCCTCATTCTTAATTCCAGCCCTCTGTGGCACCACTGTCCTTGTTAGCCACAGACTCCTTGTTGGTGTAGGAGCTTTAAAGATCAAAACTTGAAGCTGAGATTTTCTTAAGTTGCTTCAAGTGAGAGACTCCAGGCCACATCCAGCACAACATGTGCTCACAGAGCAGGATAGAAAGTTCCATGTGCTGTTTGTGGGGTGGATCCTATGGGAAGTGCTGTCTGTAACTCCCTGCCAGGGCTGGAGAGAGGTGTGGGATGTGTGTCCTGCCAGGGCTGCAGGGAGAGGATAGAGGGAATGGCCTTGAGCTGAGCCAGGGCAGAGTCAGATTGGATGTGAGGAGAAATGTTTTCCCTGTTGTGGTGTTGAGGCCCTGGGATATTGCCCAGGGAGGTGGTGGAGTCACCATCCCTGGAGGGGTTTCAGAGGATCTAGCACTGGGTGATGTGGGTTAGGGGTCACAGTGGTAGTGCTGGTGGAGAGTTAGACTTGATGACCTCTAGGGTTTAGGGATTATGGGATTGGACTTGATGACCTTAGAGGTCTCTTCCAACCTTGATGAGTCTATGATTTTATGTACTGGAACTGGTTGTCCAGGGGACCTTTAAAGGCCTCCAGAATGAAGAATGCTCTCTCAGGCACTGGGGTATTGCCCAGGGAGGTGGTGCAGTCACCATCCCTGGAGGTGTTTCAGAGGCTCTGGCTCTGTGTGATGCAGTTTAGTGGTTCGGGGTCACCATAGCCATTCTGATGGCTGGTTAGACTTGGCAACCTTAGGCTCTTTTCCCCCCGTGCTGATTCGCTGTTTGTGTCCCTGTCCCTGCCAGGTGTACAAGGGCGCTGAGCCCTGGTTCCGCTTGCCCGGCCTGCAGACCAACTGTGAGTACCGCGTGCGTGTCTGCGCGGGGCGCCATGACCCGCTGAGCGCCCAGGAACTCTACGGCCCCTACAGCCCCAGCACGGTGTTCTGCTGCCAGGGGCAGGAGCAGGGTGCCCCCTGTGCTGAGCCCTCGGCACAGGTGCGGGGCGGGCCGGCGCTGCGTGAGGAGCGTGTCATCGCCGTGGTGCTGCTGTGCGGCTTCGCCGTGGTCGCCATCCTCTTCGCCGTCATCATCCAGTACTTCGTCATCAAGTAGGGCAGAGCTCCTGGGGACTCAGCTGGGTGTGCACAGGAGCTTGTCTCGGGGTATTTATGGTTAGTCCTAAGGAAATCCTAGCTGGGAGGGTGTAGGCCTTGCTGCTGGCTCCCGGCGAGGCGGGAGCTGGGCACAGCCTTCCCAGTGCTTGAACACGCATCTCTTGTAGGAAGGGTCATCCTGGCTCCTCTGCAATCAGGGTGAGAACAGCACAAACTGCCTTAGAGTGCACACTGAGGGGGCGTGCACTCCTCTCTCCCCGCTCCAGCAGGGCCAGCTGGGCAGGGAAGGCCTTTCCCAATCCCAGCAGAGCAGCAGGAGCTCCTGCTCCGTCAGGGTTTGTTGTAGTATGATATCCATGAAACGCAGCAGAGCAAGAGCTTGAGCTTAGAGCAGAACTGCAGAGCCTACTAGAGCATACCACATTTACTAGACTGTAGAAGGAAAGCAGAATATTGACTTAGTGATATTACTACTTTACAGTTATTTTAGTGTTGGGGGGTTCAGGAATCAGCATTTCAGGTGGTGAAGTGGAGGCTGCCAGGGGGTTTTAGGGTTTTAGTGCCGCTCTGAGCACAAGGAGAGGCCCCTGATATGTCCCATTGCTGGCTGAAAACATCCCTGCTGTCCTCAGCAGCTTTGGCCCAACCCACGTTTGGCCCTCAGTGCCTGAGAGGAGATTAATTCCCTGTGCAGCGAGCTCGGAACAGCACAGGGCCTGTCTTTAAGGAGAAAAAAAAAAAAAAGAGTGCATTTATGATAAATGTTACACTATTTGGCTCAAACTGAGCAAATGTGGTTTTTTTGTACTATTGTGAACCTGAAAAGTCAAAATGTTCAACCTGCTTTTGGGTGCCCACTTTGAACCCCAGGGAGCAAATTGGACCTTGAGAGAACTCTTTTTACGTCACGTTTATACGATGTTTTAATTGCTTATCCCGCTGGGGAGCAGCTTCACATTCCATGGTTTTCCTGAGGGGAATGGTCAGCCTGCTATGAACTTGCCTGAAGCTCGTCCTCTTCAAAGCTCATCCTGGGAATTGAGGTTGGGGAGGATGTTTTGTGGACACCGTGCACTACATAGGTTGTGTTCCATCTGCTTGTGGAGCCCTGAGGAAGGAGCCTGGGGTAGCCCCTTGGCTCTCCTAGAGCAAAGGGAAGCTGGACCTCCCCAATTTTCCTTGGCTCTCCTTAGATCCAGGCTTTTGGAAGCTGGAACACACCCGTTCTCCAATGGGTCTTGCCAACAGCCTTTGGAATACGCCAGAGAAGGTAGAATTGGGGGATTTTGGAGAGGCTCTGGCAACACTTGGTGCAGCAGAGACACACTCTGGGATGTGGGAGGTGGATGAGCCAGTGCTCCAGGCAAAGGATTCCCAGGAACTCATCACTTGAAGGGCCTTTCTCCTAGGGCAGCTGAGGGATGAGGTCCTGTTGGAGGTTTTTGAGGCATTGTGTGGTGTTTCAGGGGTGGCAGACAGAAACACTTCCCTCCTCTGTGACCGTAGGTTTTATGGTGCAATCCGACTCTCTTCCACGTGTACTCTGCATTTTGTACTCCTATTTATTTGGTTTCAAGTCCTGGAAAGGAGATACACAACGTCTGTTTTGAATGTATTTGTTCTACTTGTAGCAGAACTGTAAGTTAATCATTTATTATATCCTAGGCAAAAAAAAAAGTCTCTCCCTCCATGTGTCAGAAAGAGTTTTATACAGATGTTTAGGCTTTAGCTCACAGAAGAGTTTACAATCTCTGTTCTCCTCTTAGTGTAGATGAACTCCCAGCAAATCTCTGTGGCCAAAGGGTTTAATTCCTAACTCCTATCAACCAACTCAGACAAGTTTATTGGGCAATAATCTTCCTGATCCAAGAGAAACTGGGATTGCAGAGGGAATGCTAACAACTCCTGACTGCTCCAAATGGCATCAAATCCTTGGTCATTGCCACAAAAGGTTCCTGTTCCCAGGAGTATCCAAGATTCCTCCTGCAGGATGGATTTTCCAGCAGCTGTTGGCCATTCCAGAAGGATGTTACCCTCGTGGCATTAATGTCTTCTATTTTTTAGGGATCTTCGGTTTTCTTGTCCTGTCCTTCCTGAGGTATCTCCAGTGTATGTTAAAGCTGCCATTGCATTTATTACTAAATTGTAACTATCAAATAGATAATATATTTCATACAGCAAATAAAGAATGCAAATGTATGCAAATTTCACTCCTGCCTGGGCTGCTTGGTGCCACTTGGGCCCATCACCGAACCGAGCTGCTCTTCCTCCGGGAGGGTCTGGGCTGTGGGACCCTTGGAATGGCACTGTCTTCTTCCCTGGAATGTCTCTGTCCTCTCCCTTGGCCTGGCACTGTTCAGGTTGGACATCAAGAGGAATTTCTTCATGCAAAAGGTTGTCAGGCACTGGAATGTGCTGCCCAGGGAGGTGGTGGAGTCACCACCCCTGGAGGTGTTCAAGGAGACACTGGACATGGCACTCAGTGTTCTGGTCTAGCTGACAAGGTGATGATGGGTCACAGGTTGGACTTGATAGTCTTGGAGGTCTTTCCCAGCCTCAGTGATCCTGTGACTAATTCACTCTGCAACTCCAAAGAAACCCCAAGTTGTCCTATCTAGACTCCACCCATGGTGTTAGTATTCCCATTCTGCCCCAAATCCAAGGCTGGAAGGTTCCTGGTGTGGAGTGTTCACTGTGGGGGATGTGAGGGGATGCTCAGGTGTGGCCAGAAGGAATGGAGGGACATTCAAGGGCAGAGGTAAAGGTTCCCGTGTCACCTGCTCTGTGGTGGTTACACCTGAGTGCTCTGCTCAGATTAGAATTGATAATCTTGGAGGTCTTTTCCAACCTCACTGACCCTGTGATTCCCAGCATGGCCATGCCCCACAGGCTGTGAGGGAGGAATATTCCATGGCAAGGAAGGTTTGTGGCCTCAGGGACAAGTGGAAACTCCATGTCTTCTCCTTACTGCTAGTTCCTCACAGAAATCCTTCAGGTTGTGCTTCCCAGGCTGGAAAGTCACCTGTGTGCAGGTGGGAAAGGAGGATCTGGAGTGGCAGAAGGGTATTGGACTGGGTTTGGGAATGAATCCAGAGCTCCCAGCAATACAAAGCATCATTCTCCCTCCTGCCTCAGGGAAAAATGGTGTGAGAGCACAAAGCTCCTTGTGCCAAGCTCCACCATGACCCAGGGGGGAAGTGTTCTCCTGCTCTTCCCTAGAGCAAGGGAAAAAGTGGATTTGGTTTGTTGTCTAGAGTCAGGGTCTGGAATTCCTCCTCCCTCCCTCCTCACAGGATGTTTTTGTGGAACTCTCTGACTCATGGAAGTCAAATGACTTGGCCTGGGAAAGCTGCTGAGCTCCAGCCAAGCGCTCAGGGACTCTGTGCCTGCACCTCCTGCACTGGGAGAGCTTTTCCAGCTCAGGAATTCTGTGCCTACACCTCCAGGAATACTGTTCCAACACCACCTGCGCTGGGAGAGCTTTTCCAGCTCCTTCTGCTCAGGAATTCTGTGCCTACACCTGTGCTGGGAGAGCTTTTCCAGCTCAGCAGTTCTGTTCCATCCCCTCCTGTGCTGGAAGAGGTTTTCCAGCTCAGGAATTCTGCTCTATCACCTCCTGTGCTGGGAGAGGGAATATGGCTGTTCTGCAGGGGTTGCAGGGTGGATCAGAGGGAGCAGCTGTTTGGTTTTCCCTCTCTCCAAGAGACTGGCTGAGGATTCCATGGAGCATCAGTTGGTTGGTGTGGGCATCACCTCATCCTCCAGCTGGATCAGCATGGATAATACCAGCTCCAGTGCTAACCCTAACCCTAACCAGTGCTAAGCTCTGGTTGAGAAAAATCACAATAAAACCCTATTTTTGGTCCTGTTTTGTCTTATAAAGTGAGAAAATCTGCTGAGACTCACTTGGAATGTGCTTGAAATGAGTTCCAAGTCCATCCAGCTGCCCTGAAATCCAGTTTGAAATGTGCTTCCTCCCTAGGAGCTGTTACTGTCAGAGCAGTGGGAATGCCCAGGAAAACGCTCCCATGTCATCTTAATTCCGGGAATTTAAACAGTGACCTTCAAAGGTGTTAATGAACTAACACTGGACAAACTGGGGGCACTGGGCTGTCTGGAAGTTCAATTCAGGAAGGACATAGAGGGGCTGGAGGTGTCCAGGGGAGGGAATGGAGCACAAGGAGCAGCTGAGGGAGCTGTGGAGCTCAGCCTGAAGAAAAGGAGGCTCAGAGGAACCCTCTGCTCTCTTCAACTCCTGCCAGGAGGTGCAGCCAGGGAACAAATGGAAATGGCCTCGAGCTGTGCCAGAGGATGGTCAGGTTGGACTTCATGGATAGGGTTGTTCAGCATTGGGATGTACAGCCCAGGGAGGTGGTGGAGTCACCATCCAGGAGGTGTCCAAGGAGACACTGGACATGGCACTCAGTGGTCTGCTGGAGCTGACATGGTGGTGTTAGAGCACAGACTGGACTTGATGGTTTAGGATTGGACTTGATGGACATTAGGAGGAATTTCTTCACAGAAAGGGAGATTAGAGACTGGAATGTGCTGCCTAGGAAGGTGGTGGAGTACCCTAGGAGGTGTTCAAGAGACATTGGACATGGCACTCAGTGCTCTGCTGGAGCTGACATGGTGGTGTTAGGTCACAGACCGGACTTGATGGCCTCAGAGACCTTTTCCAGTCCAAACAGCTCTGGGATTCATGGACCATTTAAGGGCGATGTTGCCAGGCCTCGTCTCCATGGCGACCCCTCCCGCTGCCGTCACGTGACCGGAAGTTTCATCCCGGAAGCTATGGAGCCGGCCAAGATGGCGTCGCCCAAGAGCGCCCCGAAAGACGCGCAGGTACCGCGGGCGGGGGGAGCGGGCAGGGCGGTGAGGGGGTCCGGCCGGGCTGAGCGCTGCCTTCCGCCCGCAGGTTATGGCGCAGATCCTGAAGGACATGGGCATCACCGAGTACGAG